GTATCTTTGCCCCATGTCATGATTCCTCGACCGTGTTTTTTACCATCTTTATATTCGCCTTCATAGGTGCCTTTATCTGCATAAGTGTAAAATCCTCGACCGTGCATTTTGTCATCTTTCCACTCCCCGACATATCTATCTCCGAACGACTGCGAATCTTTGCCCCAGTTGAAAATTCCTTTCCCATCCTTTTTCCCGTCTCGATACTGGCCGTCATATCTATTTCCATTCGCATATGTAAAAATTCCTCGACCGTACATTTTCCCAATTTTGTATTCTCCATCGTACATGTCTCCATTCGCATATTCGTAGATTCCTCGACCGTGCATTTTCCCAACTTTGTATTCACCATCGTACTTGTCTCCATTTGCATATGTGTAGATTCCTCGACCGTGCATTTCCCCAAGTTTATATTCGCCCTTATATCGATCTCCGAATGATTCCGTATCTTTGCCCCATGTCATGATTCCTCGACCGTGTTTTTTACCATCTTTATATTCGCCTTCATAGGTGCCTTTATCTGCATAAGTGTAAAATCCTCGACCGTGCATTTTGTCATCTTTCCACTCCCCGACATATCTATCTCCGAACGACTGCGAATCTTTGCCCCAGTTGAAAATCCCTTTCCCATCCTTTTTCCCGTCTCGGTACTGGCCGTCATACCTATTTCCATTGGCATATGTAAAAATTCCTCGACCGTACATTTTCCCAATTTTGTATTCTCCATCGTACATGTCTCCATTCGCATATTCGTAGATTCCTCGACCATGCATTTTCCCAACTTTGTATTCACCATCGTACTTGTCTCCATTTGCATATGTGTAGATTCCTCGACCGTGCATTTCTCCAAGTCTGTAATCGCCCTCATATCGGTCTCCAAATGATTCCGTATCTTTGCCCCCGATGAAAATCCCTTTACCGTCCTTCTTCCCATCTTTGTATTCGCCGTGGTAGGTTTCCCCATTTGCGGATGTGCTGTTTCCTCGACCGTGCATTTTAGCTTCTGGGCATTCCCCACTATATTCTGTACCGGTCGGGGATACACATACGCCTTTACCGTGTGGTACATCGTTGAGTGTGTGACCTTCATGGCTCCCGCCATCAGTTAAAGTCAGTTTCTTGTGCAGAACCATTGATTCGACATCATCATCTACTTCGCGTAGATGCACGGTATGGAAGCCACTAGAGAGATCAAGCTCATTACTCACTACCTCCAGTCTTGTTCCGGGCATTAGGACAAATTCATTTTCGTTTGCATCGGAAGTGTATTCGGATGTGTATGATGCAATGTTCTTTCCGTTCGATGCTTTGATAAGGAACAATGTACTATTAGACGCTAGAAAGTGCTTGATGACTTCAACCGAGGAAGAACAGGAATTGACCGACCACCATGTAAGTAGTTGTCCTGGTTGAAAGCATCTGCTTACGTCAGCATTGACACCCCGCCATAAGGATAGCTTCTCAGACGGCAGTTTGTTAAGGGCAGTGTCAAGCAATTTCAAGTACGGAAACCATGGTTTTAATGTATCACGATTTTCATCTCGTAAGGCATTGTTCAATACCCGATAGAAGCTTCGATCACCCCACTCCATCGTATACAAATACAAGGCAGCTGATTCCTCTTTTGTTAGACGATCAGACGAATGACACTGCTGTATAGCGATTTTAATATAGCGTTGTAGATTATCGATGAGTGGCATTATTTTCTCAAGTGAGATTTCGAATGACACCAGTGGTGAACTGAGATAACCGGATACCGGTAGAAGTTCCTTGTTCTCTGGATCGATGTCACAATATCGAACACTCATATCTCGACTAAAAGAACGAAGACCAGTATTACATTGATGCAGATGGCGAAGAGTTTGTGTCAACTAGGAAGACTGAATGGATTATCTCTTGCTGTTCCTGTGGCTGTGATTCAACAACAACGTTGTCTTCGTCAGAATAAGCCATCGAATACAGATTTATAGTTTCATTTTTATTCGAGCACGACGAGGCGCCTTTTGGTTTGAAATAGGCAGTAATTCGGTGTTATTCTAGCAGATGCTAACGATAGCTAAAAAACAAACTTCGCTTTACTCGTTGTATCTAAAAATCGTTCGTATTGTAAAATTCATTTTTCTCTGGAAGGACAAAATGTTTTGAGCTTTGGGCACATCATAAATGGAAAAAAGGATAAGAGAATAGCGACGAAACGTTGAGTATTAGCGGCGATACTAGAAAAACAAAATTGAGCATTTAGTGTGTGAAGCTGTTATCAGAAAAATAATTGTCACTTTTTACAGTAAGTAGAGCATTGATCTTTTGATGTTTTTACCAAAATAATCCTCAGTCTGTGGACTAACTTTTGACCGTTTTTAATAGAGATTACGTTTAGTTTTAGGTGAGATATGCGAGATTCAATCTCACGAGATAGAAAAAGACCAAAGTGTGTGTAACAATATTGTTTTGGTTTATTTGCATAGAAAATTGAACTAAAGAGTTAAGTCTTTTATATATTTCGAGCGAGTTCGTCTTCAGCTTCAAATTATTCCTAAGAAAAAGAATTAGAACTCATTCCGTCTTTAGACAACCCTTCAGGTTTGAACGGCAGAGGGTACCTTGGCGTGCGACAAGGCAACTGTTACATCCCAGTAACAGAAGCAGCTAAAGAGTTGCTGCCATTAGTGCCAGTGAGCAAGCGTTAAACAAACAAAATAAAATAGAATTCAAAACTTTCAGTAGAAGTAGAAAAAGGTTATTGCATTTTTACTTCTATGATATCAACGGTACAATACCTGCGGAAATCGCACATAATTAGAGACATGTTTTCTATTATTCCTTACCTGTTTCTCCTCTTCTTCTGCGTAAGCTTTGTTTTAAAACTAAAAACACTGTATTCATATTCAAATGGCTTATTTATTCATGCATATCCGGTGATGAAATCATATTTTCTATAGACGGGGATGAATAGATGATAGTTCCTCTTTTTCTTCATAAGTTTTTTTTGTTGCTTTCTTTCTGCTTTTTTCTTCTCTTTTACACATATTACTTATATTTATTTGTATTACTACGATTCGTTTACTTGCCTAGATTGTGCAATACAATGCATTTGCGATTCATGGCATTTGTACTACGCTCATGTATTTTTAACTTTTTTACTGAAGCTTTTGGGTAGGGATGTACACGGGTACCATTTTCGTACCCGACCCAAAAATTTCTTTTCCAGTCGTACCCGGCTTATGCCTAAACATTTTATTTTGATTTTTCAGCTAAAAGCTTTTGTTTTCGGCTGAAGATGTCAAATTTTCATTACTTTCTCAAGTAATACTGTTTTAAACCTTCATGTATTTTAGCTAAATTCCTGTATTTTTTCACTAAAATTTTGCGGGTTTTCCAGTAGAACCTTCCGGTTTTCGGGTACATTAAAAAAAAATAGAACCTGTACCCGTAACTGCTCTATCTGTATCCAACAACTTCGTACCCGTACTCAACCTTTGGATCGGGTCGGGTACGGGACGGGTTGCACATCTACTCTTGGGCCCAAGTCTTCTTTCAAATCCTAGGGAAAAGTAGGCGAATGTGGTACTAACTTCATCTATGTGATAAAATATCAAAAACGTCTCAAAAGCCAAGATTATTGACGAAACATTTTTCCCTGTTTACTTTAGATTCTCAGTAACACTGATTATATCCTAAAAACGTCTTGGAAAAAATGTCAAGCATTACTTCTGCGTGTTTCCGATATACTGGACTGGTGAGTTATTATTTTCCAATAGAAAGAGATAAGTCTGAACTTTAAAAAGACGTAGGAAGCAAAATTTTTTGTGGTGTGTGTGTATGTAGAACGCAACGAAATAATATGAATAAAATAAACTTTTCTGTCAACCATGATGAATGTCAACCGCATGATGCTTCATCAAAATACGTTTAGTTGAAAACTTTTTTGACAATAGATTTAATAACAATCGTATGCACACAACAATCATTGATTTATTATTTCAACAAGCACAAGCTTTCGATTACGATCTGTAATCATCATCAGCTATAGTTTACAATAAATAACACACAACTATATATACGTTCAGTTTCTTTTTCATTCTTATTTTTCGGTATTTGTAACAGACGCCATCACCGATCACCACTCCCAAATTGCCTGAGACCATCCAAGATCGACAGAGTACGCCCAGTAATCCGACACCGACATCCACCGACACCCACTTAAACCTAAATCCGAGGCACTCGGAATGAAATACTATTACGAACACCCATCAAACTGGGAAATGTTAGGTAATTCGTTTTTTGACTTTACCTCATCATGTGGCGCATACGAACTTGTTGTTTACTTTTGTCATCCATGTTTCTTGCAGCAAAGATTGTATGTCTTCTGCCTTGAATGAGAATTTACGTCAAACAGCTTCTGAAAAATAATAATAGGTATCAGGAATAGAGAAAGGAAAAGTTCCACATATGTAAATAATCGCATCCTACAATGTTTTAATTTTTCAATACCTTCTTCTGGTACCGCCACTCTTCCTTTATGTTTGCCTTAAAAACCAGATAAAAAAACATTCTCGCACTGTTCAAATCGGAAGATTACAAACGCTTTAAGTTAATCGTCAGTTAAAACGCCTTCCCCGGATTAGAAACGTCGATTTTCGTCAAAAATATCGATTTTGAGAAAAGCATAGGGTTGGATAACCCAAAGCGTCTGCTTTCTACTGTGTTGATAGGATAGGTTTTCATGGTTTTTGAGCGATTTTCCAGAATCCCTACAACAAAGAAAGTGACTTTTTTCCTAGAAAGTGTATTTGCATATGTGCACGGTGTTGCATATGTCTGCACACATGTCTATTAGATTCGCCATGACCGATAACCTCAAGAAAAGTATCAACAAATTATTTGACACTCAAATAGTTCTCAAGTAAAACGCATTTAACAGAATCCAAACTCATTGTGTTTTTCTCAAGACTGTTGTTTACCTTCAGAGCTTTCGCACGTGCAGGAATTCGTGGTAATGATACATCGGAGAAAAATAATTTTTCTTTTGATTTGTGGATTATATCTACAAGTAACGTTCATCATTCTGATCCATTTATCCCTTGACTGGAAAGGAATCGCCAATATCAAATTGTTTCTGTAGAATAAAATAATTATCATTCTTGTTCACATTACTTATAAATCACACTCCAAAGATCCACAGAGGTCTAAAAGTATTTTGCAGTTCGATCAAAAATAATTGTAGAAGCATCATTCTTGCATACTTTGAGAGACAATGATCTATGGTCATAGTTTCACAAAAGAAAAAGTTTACAATTACTTTTTTAAGGTATTAGATTATAATTAATAAGTGCTAATTAATGCTAATTAGCATCACTCTGGTGCCTTACACATTTATTTCTAAGTTACCGCTTTGTTGAAGATCATGAAGGAATATATGATATGATAGAGATTTTCAAGCGCTACAAAACCCTGTTCTTCTCAAAAGATTAGTAATTAACAGTTATTTTAGCCCATTTAGAAATATTGAATTCCTAAGCGGTTTATTACTGTGCGCGTACAAAAGCCATTTTCTAAATAACTTTTAGCTAGCAACAGCTAGAGAGTTGTGGTTTCCGTCATTTGATAGGGAAGACATCGTCACATCTTTGTGTAACCGACGAGCTTTCCAAAAATTCATTAAAAATCGGATGTCCTGGAGATTGCTGGAAAACCGAGCCATAACTCTGAAACTTGCAGTAAACTCATGTTCTGGAATTCCTCTTCAAAAACGAGCATTGCTAACAGATTCACAGTTCCTGGCTACGTATGTTTCATGCAATTTCAATGTCACCGCCAATCACCGAATATCTGTCCTGTCGCTGGATACATGGTTGGATACAAAGCATCGAGCTGAGTATAGAAACTGGTTTTTAAGACTTCAAAAAGTTTTGAGAAAGAAAGCTTCAAAATACTGAATTGGATACGTTTTATCGAAAAACCGCTCGGTTTCGAGGAAAATTTCAAAGTAAGTAAGTTTTTCACCAAGGTATTAAAATCAACTAAAAATTTCCAAATGTATATCATTCGACTCTGTTTTCGTCGCCGATCCCAAATATCATATTTTTATTGCATAAAGCATGCATTGTGATGGAGAAAACTGAGAATTGCAGGCAGAATTTCGATTTTTTCGCTCCAGATCTAGAAAACATAAATTTTTTAACTAAGTAATGTTCTTAAGAGCCCTCTCGCTTTTTCAACGAAACCTAGTGGGTTATAGGTTATCAATGATGCTGATTCCGAATATGAATATGAGAGCTGCTCTTAGCGCTTCGAACACCCGGTTTTCGGGAAAATTAGCTTTTCAGAAACTCTGAAAAACAGTCAAAACTTTTCTTGGTGAGTCATGCTTGTAGCCCGCACATTTCTGATTAAAATGAGATCTCTCCCAACTCTACATGACGTTTCCTTGCAAAGTTATAAAATTTACAAGAAAAGCCGTAAATTAATTTCTTCTTCTGCACAGTGGGCAACTAAGCGGACATTAGGCCAAAAAGTCGATTTTATCTATCTTGAAATACAAATAGTGCAAAATGTAGCTCTTGAAATTCTCTATCGAATGGTGTATAAACGTCTATTGTGAAA